ATAGCTCTGAAAATATAGTCATAATGCTAAGCCAAAATATGTGAAAGCTTAAGGGCATGCTGTCAAGATTAAAATCTTATTTCTCAGCTCAAAAAGCTTGAGGCCTGGGGCCTCCATTCTAAGACTAGCATTGTAGCTTGGCGCAAATACAAAAAAAAACATCTGATATGGTTTTGGCATTGAAAATAACGTCAAAACCTAGTGACCAAAATTCATGCATTGTGGAGCTGGTAAGTAGCACTTAGGCATCGATCATAAACCTAATAATGATGTCATCATGCATGTGGAAATAATGTTGTAATGTTATCAAGAAAAGGTTTATAGTGCATTATAGGAATAGTGTTATAACACTATCAAGAGAATCTTTATAGTTTTTTGACACTCAAAGTCTATGCTAAGGCACTCAACTAAAAAGGAGCCTACCACCGGAGCACTTGAAGGATATATGTGGGTGACAAAGAGGGAAACAAAACCAAAAGTTTTCCTCTAACACAAGGCATAGTCTTAAGCCTTTAACATAAAGACCTATGGGGATCTAGTAAGTGAAATAATGATGGCCTTAATTAATCTTACCACCATGATGTTTGAAGTTGTCCCTTGAGATTTTCCTCTTCGACTTCATCCCACAAAAGCTCTGGTCATGAAAGAATTGTGCCTCTAGCAATAAAAGCTCCACCAAATGATGTGGAAGAACCTCATACTCTTAAAGGGAGAGGGAAACTCTCAAGTTTGCCATTGGTTTTAGGGCTTCAAATAATAAAGAATCTAACCCTTTGATACAACAAAAAGCCAGTCTACATCTGGTAGAGGATATTGGTGTTTATGGAGCTGCTCTTTTATAGGTTAAAAAGTTTATATGGCATGAAAACGTTGGATAGTGTTGTCTAGTCTAAATTCTACAACTATTTCATTAATTATCATGATTTTATGCTTATGAATGTTTGTTTGCATTATTTTGTAGTTTCTAGGGGTCAACATGCTTCCTAGAGCATGAAACCGACCAAAGCAAGAAGGGATACTTGGCATATGCATGCCTAAAAGTGAATTAATTTCACTACCCGCTCTGTATTAGTGCCTTAACTATGTCTGATTTATGTGTTGTCACACTGAGTGCAGCTTTGTTACGTCAAATTTGGGTGCAGTCATGCTAACCCGGCTTGAAATTTTGTCCAACATTGGGTTAGACACATCAGAATCAGGTGTGGCTTTGCCACCAAGGCCCCTCCTCAAAAAGAGAAGAGCTTCCTTATGAGTTTGGATTTAGGATTTAAGAGAAAACATAAGAGCTTGAATCAAACGATCTTGGGTGGTTGCAGACTGCAAGTAGAGAGATTTTTTTGTGAGAAAGAGTTCTCTCTTAGGGCTTTCTTCCTATCTTGGGTTGTAACCTTATGGGACTGCTTTTCTTTCTATTCCTCCTCTTTATTCTTGATATTATTGAGAGATTGTGTATGTGAGACAGAGAACTTCTGCTCTTGTGGAGAGAACAAGTATTGAGCGTATGTTTTACTATTATTTGTTCCCGTTGCAATATGATCTGCATAGATTTTTTATCTGTGGTTTTCTCTACTATGTGTGGATAAATTCTCTTTATTTTCTCTATGATGTATATCTGGTGGTTTTATTATAGTTTTTTAAAATTTTTTCCATGTAATATTTTTTGAGCTTTCATGTCTGTATGCTAGTTTTTAACCATTTAGATTTCCCTTAATCCTAGTATGGCTAATTGAAATGCTAATATCTTATGTGATCTATGACTTCTGCCCATTGCTTAATGGAATGAAGATATTAATCAAAAAATCCTGTAAGAATAGGGATATTTTAGTAGGGTTTTTCAACGTAGATAAGGGATTGGATGAATCCTAGGAAACATCATGAGGTTAAGCAAAACTTAACTTCATGTCTTTTTTATTCTTCTTCTTACCTATGCATAGGGCTAAGAAGAAAACATATCTCTAGTTGACAAATATTACATAAAAAACATTAAATAAAACAATGAAATACCATGACACTTGAGTCACAAATACCTGAGCCACATCACTCTTGAAGATCACCAAGTCTCTCTCTACTTTTGCGATCATGATTGATTTTCTATGAGGATTTTAGGATTTTAACCATTTGTTGTGATAACACCAAGCTAGGTTCTCAAAGTTAGTAAACGAGAGATTTTCTACCAAGAATAATTATTAAACCTTTCTTCGTTGAATCAATATGTGGACTTTGATAACGTGTATTACTTGGCACGTATACTCGTGTGATTGATTGGGTTACCTAACGACAACTTTTCAACCATCAGGAGGCTAGAGTTTACTGCAAGGGATAGTTCTTTGGAGTGCCCTAGAAGCTCTTCTTTTCTTCTTCCTTGAGGGAGAAAGCTTGTAGGTGATTTTTCTTTGTTTTCTTTAAGAGGAGCTTGTACGAGAGAGCAACTAGTTACTTTTACGGGAAGAAAAGCCTTGTTTTTAAGCTATTTTTTACTTTGTATTACTTCTTGCATCATTGGTTTCAATGGAATTCCTTTCGTTGTTTTTTTTTTCCATGAGTAGTTTAATCTCTTTCATGCATTTGTGATGTTGGGATAGTGATTCTTTTGTGATTTTTCTTGCATGTTTTTCCCTTAAAATTTTTCCGAACTTTCATGTATCCCAGTTGTTGAGTTATCCATTTGATCTTATTTTACTCTTGATCTGACTAATCAGTATGTTAAAACTTTTTGTGAACTATAACTTTTGCTTATTGCATTGTAGAATGAATAGGTTAACAATAAAAATCTATTAGAATATGTATATTATAATATGGGGTTTTAAACTTATATAGGGGGTTGGAAGAATCATGGGAAATATTGTAAGGTTAAGGGAAGCTTAACTTTATGGGTTTCTGATTTCATATGACCTGGGTATAGGCTTACGTAGGAAAGTTATCCCGAGCAAAGGGGAACACTTAGGAAAACCACAAACTTGTATTGCACCAGAGTCGCAAAGGTAAGAGCCTTTTGCTTACAGTTTCAAAGATTGTGTCTTTATTTTTTTTGCCCGTTGTGTAGAATTTAAAATTTTGATTTCTAAGGTTGTGTTCAAGCTAAGCTACATTCTTGAAATTAGCAAACGATATATATTTTTTTATCAGAATAGTTGATAGCCCTTTCCTCATGAGATTGATATGCATACTCTAAAACTACATATAACTTGACATGTATACTTGCGTACTTGGTAACTTGCCTCATAGCAATTTTCAGCCATCGGTAATTCTTCTATGATGCAAGACTGACAAAGCAAGATATGTCATACTCATTGGACTAAGACACCTGCATCGGGCTCTTTTTCCTTGCTAATCTTGAGTAAATCCCCGAGCCGAGGCAAAGAGAAAAACCACCCTTTTGGAAAACAAGAAAATCTTTAGAGTTTTCTATAGATCCACGACACCATATTTATATTTGTTAAGGTGTTGTGGCACTAGGATCTAACCACTATCGAGCCCCGCCATCTTAAGAAAACATCAATTCTCTACCCATAAAGAGTGGTCTTTATCAATAAAGTATATTTGGCACGACAACGTCGGAGGCTAGTGGTGCAGTGCCAAGCCAAAATCAGATCAAATTGTTACATATTAGCGCCATGGCACAAGGTTGGTTCATCAAACGCTTTCTTCCATGTGCACCCATGTGTACACAGTGACGCAGTGCATGGCACATGACTCAACCTCATTGCATTCCACATATTTACTCCTTGGAATGAGAGGCAGCGTTCAAGGTCATTCCAATAGAAATATGACATCATAACGTGCTAAATTTGACACCAACAAATTCTTCAAAAAATGAAAAAGAAAAAAACATGAAACTTTAATAATAATACTTTTCTATTTTGAATATTCTTCATTTATTGACAATGTTGAAGATGTAGATGTTTTCTTCTAGATATTGTATCATGCATGCAATACGTTCAAAATAAGATGAAGCCTTCTTTAATGATATTTGCCTAAAGAAGAAAGGCTCATAACTATCTAAAAAGTTATAACAAAAAGAAATGGACCACTCTAGATGGATCATATAGGTCATCTAAAGAATATATTAATTCATAAAGCTACTTCTTTTCAAAATAACAAAATCTTATATTAATAGTGTGCATTAATTTTCTACTTACAAGCTTTAGTATATGGGTTAAATTAGATTTTCTTTAAATGCTATGGTTACATTCACAAAATCCTAGCTAAATAGCTCAAAAGTAATATTATAACTAATGAATCAACTTAAACTAATTCCTCTGCTTAAACCGATTTATATTTATTTTTTTTGTTTGAAAAATGAAATTATACTTCTTTAAATGATGAGTCATGCTAAGCTTATAACTTGCTTGACATTTTATGAGTTAGGTGTTCATCATTTCATTGTCTCCCTCATCTAGCAAATACATACTTTATAATAACTCAAACAAATTGTGTGTGTTCTTGAATGGACTCTTCATAATTATCTGCATTCAAAAACCTAAATTTGTATCTAAGTTAGCTTTAGATGGGTTTGATGAACCATGTGGCACCTCATAACAAATCCGAGTATTTAGTTAAATGGTTATGCCCCATTGAAGCATCTATCTAAATCATATAAATTGATAAAGTAGTGTGCAAACTCCTAATTAGACTCAAAGATGAACAATTGCTCTAGCGAATTTAGTCCTTCAATAGGCTCAAAGCAGTTACTCTTTGTAAATTTTTTCAACATTATGGGATGAAAATTTGTGTTTGAAAAAGGAAATTTTTATTCAAACTATATAGACTCGGTTTCGTATTCAAGTAATTAGGCAATAACAAGAAAGTGCACCTCAAAAGGTAAGATAAAAAAAGAATCATTTCCTTTTTAATTTTCGAGATGAGCAAGTATGATGATGTATGTATCAATCAAAATTGGTGCAAAAAGTCTTCCCTTTTAAATCAAAATGGTATTAGAAAAGACCCACTAGCATCTCATCCAAATGACCATAGAAAAATGAGATAATTCTAAAAGCTTGTTTAGTTTGTCAAAAGACGTGCAATTTCAACCATCAAGCTGCAACAAGTTGGCAGGCAGTCCATTCTCGTACATCTATGAAGCACGTAGTACATATTTTACACATTTTTTAAGCATGCAAAATTATACAATCTCAGCGATCTATTAAGGCACAATTGATCTTGGAATGATGATATCGCCAATATTATTGTGCCATGGGTCGGCTAGATGAGTAGCTAGATTCTCCAACGGTCCCGTTCCAGGATAAGCCGATTGTTGCACGCAGAATCCCACAAAGGCCAACAACGCGAGCCGACCTGAGCAAAGAATGAAATATTACATTAATAATTAATTTTAGCAAGCATAACTAATCTATCAGGTATTTTAACAAATTTGTATTTGGATGAAAGTGTTTTTTCTTCATGTATTCCAAAATATAAAAAATAAATGCAACCATTTTATTAGATAATATAAAAAAATGGATATTTAAACCGACCATTTTTGACCTCCTTGACTTTGAGTTCCTTGAATTTCTCTGGGTTTTTAGAAAATCCCAAAGGATCGAAGGCTCCACCGGGATATTTCTTTTTCTCAGGATCCTTCTCCATGCTGCGTTGGTGCTCCACAAAGGCGATGGCAAGAAACTCGATGATGAGAATGGTGGGAAGGGTGCCCCATGGTACTGGATTGCCCAAATATGTAGCATGGCCGCCAGGGATTGTTGCCCATTCTTGTGCCTTCACCCAATTCCCGAGGCCCAGGGCTTCTGGAATCAGAATTCCTGGCTGCAAGGCTCATGTCATATATTTATCTCGAGTTATTTGCATCACATGCATTTTTATGAGAAAATATTATATCAGGACTCCGAGTCCAATGGTGAGATGCCACATGTCAAGTGGGCTCCACCATTTTTAACATCGGCCAATGTCAGTGTATTGCGGTGGGGCCCACACGACATGTGACGCCCCACCATTAGACTTTGAACGCAAATTGCTTTCGGAGTCCTGATCTAATATTTTCTCGTAGTTTCTGCGAGTGTTACTAGCACAATGTTATACTCTATCTTGAGAGCCAAGAAATGAGAAAACTTTGGCAGCTGACGCAATCAATCAAAAGATAGAGAATGATTTTATTTTTGAAATAAAGTTAAGATGAGGGTACTCCTATTAATATTTAGTTTTAACAATTTTAAATTTATTCCGAATATAAACATATTTATGTATCATATTGATACTCATCATAACTGAAATTAAAGAAAAATTAAAATCTATCCTTGATTTTGTTCAGGATATTTTCACCTAAATTTACTTTTTTGTTTAATACTTCAAAGTTACTAGATAATCCTTTATCTATCCTTGATTTTGTTCTCAATTACCAAGCACGTAAAGACTGATAATTCAGGAATCAAAATTCAAAAATAAGAGAAGCTTACAACGGCGAGCATTGCCCATCTGCAATGAATGAGCTCGGATTCCTTGTACCTCTCCAGGTTTTCTGGTACCTCTCCAAGTCGAAGCGGGTCGAACCCGAAGTCACTGAAGCAAGCACCACAAATCATAATTTTTAGGAAGAATTGCATTTTGATCTTGTGGTGTAATCGAATGGCTTGAGACAACATTTTTTTTATGAAATATGTAGCATAACTATGATGTTAAAAATATGATATAAATTGTATTGTTGTGTGTAAGATAAATCACTGTGGAAGAGTAATGAATTATCGTTTCAGCGTTGCACGAGAATCCAACACACATTCAACTAATAATAATAATAGTTAGAAACACCAAAAATTATTACGTAGAAAATCTATAAAAGAAAAAAAAACACAGGATCTGGCCTAGTTAAATTAATATGTTATGTTTGGTGATTACACGTATAGGTTCTTGTCTAACAAGCGGGAAAGGGTTACTCAATTTCTCAAATTACAACAGTAATGCACAAAAGAACTTGTACCCAACATTATGGAGTGGATGCCACTGGGAGGACTTGCTAGAGCATTTGCATACTCTCTTAGAGGTTGACACGATTTAATATGTATTAACTTTTTCATAAATTAATAATTCATTTAAAAGTTCAGCAAATATATTTTAAATTTATAAAACTCGGATCAAATCCCCCCTCAGTAAATTAAAAAAAAAAAACATTCCGAGAAAAGTAATTTTTACTCTACTCAAAATTAATCTCAAGTGTAGATTTCAAGTTGAGACTACCATTGATACCTATGTACATCCATGGCAGTTAAATATCATTGCTTACCCTGGAGCCGAGCCGTCGAGGTACGACAAGTTGAGACTACCACTGATACCTACCCTATGTACATCCATGGCAGTTAAATGTCATTGCTTACCCTGGAGCCGAGCCGTCGAGGTACGGAGGGCGGGGCTGCCCCGGCATCCAGTCGGCGGTCATGGAGAACCGAGACCCAGCCTTTGTGTCAGGTGGGAGAGCCACTGAGCCATTGAACTTTGATTTTGAGGAGGAGAGAAGGCTCGGGAAGACAACAGCGAAGCTCCTCAGCCCAGCGGAAGCCATTTCCTGCTCTGCTAAGCGAAGCTCTCTTGGGCTGGTGGTGGAAGTGAAGGTTGGGGAGAAGGGAATGATGCGGCAGAGAGGAAGGAGAGTTGTTATGAAGTAGTGGTGGTGGATGTAAATGAGCTGATGGGAAGGGAGGATGAGGAATCTATTTCTGTTCTTTGATTGGTCGCTGTATCCGCTTGGGGAGATGCTATTGGAGAGCATATCCGTTGGGCGCTTACGTGGCGTTTAGGGTGAGTGGATAATCTAAAGCGGAGATTTTAAGAAAGAAAAGATTGTAAATTTTGGGAAATAAAAAGAGATTTTTTTTTTTTTTTGTATTAATTTGGGGAAACATTTTTCAGTTTAGGCGGCTAACGGGAAGGGCATTCAAGTATTAATCTTAGTAATATTATTATTGGTATGCTTAATCTAAGGTCTTTGAGTTCAGATTAATTTCTACTTTTAATCCAATAGCTAATTTATTTTTTTCTCTTATTTATTTCATACACACACGTATTCTCTATAATAATAATTGATTTATTAAAAATGTTGTGTAGATCGCACCAAAGGTATAGAGCGTTGGATGGATGAGAGAAACAAAAACAAAGAAATTGAGATAGAAAATAAACTGCACAGTGACACAAGTTTTAAGACAATAAATGCAGTAGCTCGTTATTGGAGAAATCACCATTTTTTTTATAGGTTTCAGATTAGCTAGTAAGATTGCATGTTTATCCTTGTTTTAATATGGATGTTATAATTTACTCTTACATCTTTTATTACATATATTTTAACCAATTTTGGGATCCATTCATATTCATAAATGACATTAGCATTGTTTCGTACTCATAGCTGCTTTAAAAGGAGCATTTAATGATATGTTGACCTTGTTATCCGGTCGACCGAAAGTCTTTGGTCGGCTAACATACCTTCGGTATGCTGAGATGTCGTTGGTCACCCCTCTCAATTGAAGTTTGAGTAGAGGCCTTCTCGTCGTTAAGGTGAACTTGGACTGTAATCTGACGAGCAACTCTCCTTAGATAAGGGGTCTTCTCAGAGGATCCAAAAGGTGCTCCACGAGGTGCACTTTGGCCATTTTTACAAATGATTGTCCCCCGAATTAGATGTCTTCTATTCTTTAGTTTAGTTGTGTTTCTGTTTGGCCAGCTCATACTTCTGTCGAAAGAAATGATGTTTGGCGTTTCCAACTTCTGACTATCTCGATACACTATTTTTTTGTTTTCTTAAGTGAGATCCATTGGATTTTCTTGAGATTCATACGGTCATATTTTTTATGTATTTATTTAGTTTTATAGTTATCTTAATTCTTAAATGTGACAACTACGATATGAATAAAAAAAAAGCAAAAATTAACTTATTTAATGTATCACATGTACTTTTAATAATTGAACTTTCTGGATTTTTATGTCAGTAGTCCCTTGAAATAGAGCAAGATCAATACTTCTCCATCACTCTTTTATGAGTTTGTTACCCTTTGGTCGGTTGTTAACAGAAAAGAGTAATGACGAGTATCAAGAAATCTGTAAATGAGGCAACCATGATGAAGGTCTTCGAACATTCAATGAAAGAACATCGTCCTCCTAAGAATGCAAGGGAAAAAAAAGAAATTAGTGAGTAGCCTGCACAAAATAAAGAAGAGGCCGAGGGATGAGGGCCACTCGATAGTAGCAAAGAGGCCTGATGGAGAAGGCCGACTAGTTGGCTCAAAGCAGTCAAAAGAAGGGAGCAGACCAGAGGGAGAGAAGTGGGTTAAGCATATGATTTAGAAGAAAAAAAGGGTGGAAGAAGTGGCTGAGTTGTCTGACTCAATGCTGCTTTATCGGGAGATTTGGGATAGGGTTGACGCCCCTGTCACTAATGCAACGGTCCTTACCATGGATTCAATACTTGAGTGCTAGCTTAACAACTGGTTGCAAAGAACTAGGTCTAACAGCATGAAGTTGCAGCTCCCTTACCTTTCGTCAGTGAGATCAACTAGGTGGTTATAAAAACGCTTATTGGTAAGAGGATCTAATCGTCTGAGAGATTGAAATGGAGCGAATCAATAGCATGAGAATAACCACAAATTTTTCTTACTTAGTTGATTTGTTCTTTTTTCTCTTTTTTCCGTTATTTGATTATTCTTGTAGACGAGACCATGCAAATTATCGACTGATCGATAATAGGAGATGGTTGTCGCTCGACTTTAGAGGCAACCGAGGGACCATTGTTCTGGTCCATGGAGGAGGAGCACCCGACAATCTGTTTGTCCGTGAGAACATCGAGAGTGAGATCGATAGTCAGAGAGAATCAAGAGTGTCATTGGCTCATCAGATGGACAAAACGGTGGAGCTCTTTGCTAGAGAGGCTAGCTTGTAGAGGGAGGTTGTCATAACAAATATAAAGAAAGAGATGAAGATTCTTTAAGCATACTCAGTATATCTCCTAGGTTGGATGTTAGTATCTACGATTTCCTTCCTAGTATAGACACATTCTCTTAGTTTCCTTAACTAGCTTTCAAGATGAATGATAAGCTCCAATAGTGTCCTTCTTGATATAGTCATTTCTTCTTCCTCTTAGGTTGGATGTTATTCTTAGCGCTTTCCTCCCTAGTGTGATTAAGACACTTGAACATTGTTATACTATCCCTCAAACTATCCTTCTTGATCTAATCATCATGTTCACCTCTTTGATTGATTGAGAAAACTCTAACTCGAAATCTTTGACATACCCAAAATTGAATCATCAGAGCTTGGTTGATTGCTTTGATCAACACCAGTATGCCTGTCATAATTTGAACGGTTCACCACACATATTAAGGGTCCATTTGTTGAACTCATTTTTTGTCATATATAACTTGCATAAAAATTACCCATTTGTTTGGTGTAGCCACATTGGCTCAAATGTGGCTATGCCATTTTTTGGCCCGTAGTGATCACGTGATCATGCCCAGAAATACCTCTGTGAGGCCACACCCAGTCAAGCATGACCATGCCAAAAATATCTTGATGTGGTCACACCAAGTTCGAGCGTGAGCACACCAGATATTCCTCTATGCGACCAAGCCCCAGGCTGCAATGTTCACTTTTTGTGCCACACCAACAATTCGGGACCTTCGCCCATGGATCTAATGACAAATCTTAGCATTGTTTTTCCAACGGCAATCCGTGGTACCTCCAACTACCATAATGAACATAGTTGTTGACTCACCTCCAATCAACAACCACAAACAACCTTCCTCGCCTATAAAAGGTAGCCTTTCCATTATCTTCAGAACTGCATTGCACGTGCACGCTCGATCACCTCAGACTACTTGAACAGAGGAAAAATAAGGAAGAAGTTCTCTAGTGAGGCCTCCTCTTTCTTCGACTAGCCTCTTCTCCGATAAGTATAATCTTACCTCTTCTTTTAATTTAAATTCAAGCATTTTTTTTCAAGTTAGGTTTAGGCTAGGTTAACCCACTTAATAGTCTTGGATTAGGCCTGGATTTGGATTTGCCTCAGGTCGTCCCGAACTCGACCTAGTCCTAACCCAACATAGGTTTAAACCTAGCAAAATCTAGACCTGAACCCTAACCTAAACCAGACCCGAGCCCTAGCCCAAACTAGATCAGAATCCTAAACCGAACTAGACCTGAACCCAACCTTAATCCAATTTGAACTTAACCCTAATCCAATCTAATCAAACAAGACCTGAACCCTAAACCTAGTTCTGACCTAACTCAAGTCCAAGTCAAACCTAACCCAACCCTGGTCTAACCTAGCCTAAACCCAAGTCCTATCTTGGTTTAAGCTGGGTCAACCCAGGTCAAACTGAGGTTTCACCTGGGTTAACCAAGTCAACCCAAGTCCGACCCAAGTCCAACCTAAGTGTAACCCGAGTCAACCAAAGTTAACCCAGGTCAACCCAAACCACAAACTAGTTGTCCATATCACATTTGAGCTCAATTTCGAGCTGACCCAAGCTGTAAATCTAGCTCACTTCAGCTCAATCCTAACACAAATCTAATCCAAGGCTAAATTTATGTATTATTTCATATGTGATTTCATGTGTAGTCCTAAAAAAAATAACTTATGGGTGTCGTTTCTAAACAACATCATAACTGACGTTTAAAGCTTTCAGTTATCATCACATACTCATTGGTTTATGACCTAGGATAAATGACTTCGTTAATTACCTATGACTTATGACCGTCAGTTTTATTCAGAGTTTAGCCGCTATTTTATATGGTCAGAAACTTCAAATATGCTGCTAAAATTTTTTTTTGAGAATAAGCGACGAATTTAGCAGTAGTTATGCAGTCATAAATTAAATCATTGATTTGCTATGTAGTCGAAAAAAGACATGTTATTTTTGACGTACAGAAAACCATCGTTTATGTCGCAGGTTATAGATGTTTTTCTTGTTGTAATTCAACGGACCGACGATCCAGTTCTGTGTTTTAAAACCACTCTATCATGATCAAAATAGATCTAATGACCCTGTATTAGTAAATTCCATAAATCCCAAACATTCTTTCGATACCGGACGACGAAATGAGTTCCCTACTTCTTTTCTCTATTCAAAATTTCTAGTTGGTTGGAGATTGGGAGTTTGTTGCCATTCACTGGTAGTTCTCCTTTAGTTTGTCAGTCACTCACCATAATCACTGTTGTTTGTAACCTATTTGTGAATATTTCTAACATTTTTTTTGTTCCAATTTAAGTTGCTTTCAGATGACCCTTGTCTCTTTCATGTATCTAGATAGAGCACTAAGGATTTGCGTGTGATTACTAGATAAACATATTCAATTCAAACTTGCTATTATAAAACTAGATTTCAGGAAATTAAATGTGTGGTAATAGACATGCATTTGAATGTCCTTTTTAATATTGTTTACTACTCACATCTCTCTCACTTGATAAAAGATTAGATTTATACCTTTATTGGCCTTCGCGATATTAGGGTTTTTTATTCTTTTTTCTAGGAGGTGATCGACAGTTCTATTTAGCATATTTACATGTTAATTAACACAAATCTAATCAAATAAAAAAATCGGATAAACAAATCATGACTTCACTAAATTGAATTTTTATTCAATTTTGTTATTTTTTAACATAAATTTGCATTTATTAAATTTAATTATTATATGAATTTAATTGATTGAGCTTAAAAGGACAGTCAGGCATGAATTTTTACTTAAACATCATAAGCAAATTAAATAAATATAACCTTAAATTGAGACATGACCCACGTTCTACAGCCAAACCGTCCGGTAAATAAAACAGCCTTTTTTTCAATGTCGAGAACAAGAACTCGTCGGAGAACGCTTTTCAATGGAGCACAGCAAGTGCCGTTTGCTCCTAGCAGTCTCTTTACCTTTCCTCCTGCTTTTCGATCATCAAATCGGCAGAACGGCCGTTTCGGCCTCATCTTCTGGCGGTAGCGAGCTTTACTTCTCGAAGTTATCGGGAATCATCATCCCAGGCTTTGCCTCAACGCAGCTGAGGGCATGGTCAGTGCTTGATTGCCCCTACTCTCCGCTTGACTTCAACCCTCTTGACTTGGTCTGGCTCGACACTACCAAGGCAGGAAAGAACCCTTCCTCTATCATGATCTCAGTAGATGCGAGTTTCTTATTGAACTCTGTTTCATTCCCACTCTGGGTTTTTATGTTATGCTTGTGACTTAATGCTGATGTGGAAGAATGGCACTATTGGATGGTTTGATGCATGTGTAAATTATTATTATTTTTTTGTTCTGCAGCTTCTTTCAGCTGTGAACTGCTGGCTTAAATGCATGCTGTTGGATTCTTATAATCAAACTGATCATCCTCAATGCAAATCGAGACCTGATAGTGGCCTATCAGCTATAACAGAGTTGGATCCTGGTTATATTACTGGTAATATTTCGCATATGTTGCTTTTGTGTTGAAAGTTGTGCGCATTCCTTTTCTTCACACTCGTATTCATGTACTTTCTTCTAATATTTACCCATTGCTTTGAATTCAGAACACCATTCCTAGGCTAGAAAGTTGTTCACTAGTGTTAATGTTTCTTTTGAAATTGAGTATTATTTGATTTATGTAACTTTTCTCAGCTTGGGGTGAATCATTCCCAGTGCCATGATTTTAATGAAAAATTTCTACCATCTTGAAAGCTTAAGATATTTAGATCTCTCAAATATTGTTGTCAAAGAACCTCTTAATGATATCTATTTTAGGATGTCCTTAGGTAAATTTACCAACAAGGGCAAATTTGAGTGGTTCAACCAATTTAGATGTTTCCAAATCTGAAAAAAATAAAGCAGGTTTCCCTCCTTTCCTTCCAGCTTTTTTCACCATGTCCTCTTCACCACCAACGAATTCTTCATGAAGATGATTTGGAAATCAAAGAGAATTGCCATCAACGCTATGATTATTCCTTAAAACCTCAACAAAAGAATGCACTGACATTCTTGAAATAGAAAACCAATGGAATAGTAACAAAAGACCAATTCCGAAGAGAATTCAATTAAAAACTATCAAACCAATCATAAAACCACTCGCAAACCAGATCTTGAAAGAAAACAAATACTTGAAGCGATTAAAACCCAAGAAATCCATGAACAACAAATTCTAACCCTATGAGAGAGGGAAGGGCGACAACGATCATCTTGAAATTTCCTTTTCTATATATATATATATATTATATTAAAAGCCCAATGGTTAATATATTAAAAAAAAAAAAGATATATATAGGTTGTATGAGTGGGCCCCAAAAGAAGGCACCCAACCCACACGGTATAACACATACAAAAATCCCAAAAAAAAGAAAAGATTGATGTAAGATCAAAAAAATAAAACCGCCAAAACCCGCAAAAAGTTAGGGACAACCCAATTTAGTCCTACCTCTGCCTTTAGTTCTCAGAAGGGAGCCAACTAACAAATTGGCCTCTGCCTTTAGTTCTCAGAAGGGAGCCCACTAACAAATTGGTGAGGTGCGTACCATTACCCAAAGTTACCAAATTATTATCCATTAGGTTTTTGAGCTCATGTAGGTCTCCATTATTCTTCTTCCTCCTGGATGTGTAAACCTACCATTCCTCATCCGAAGATTGACTCATCTGATCAGTAACAATTTGCTCGTTCAAATGAGGTGGTAGGACCGTAATAGAAAGATTGCCAACCGTTGTAACTGTAGTGTATGAAAATTTGAGTTGTCGCCTCTGCACCAGATACTTCCTGAAGATGAGGAGCTGCAAGACTCTCCTGATTATCAGTCCGAACACTATCCTTTGTAGGTAAGGATCCTTCAAAGGTTTGAAGGTGTAGGTTGCCCAACAGAGCCATCCAACATCACATCAATTACAAAAACAAAAACAATATTGTCAGGGGGGTCCACAGAGGCAATTAAATCAGACATCAATTCCTTTCTTGTGGTAATTTCCTCCATAGGTAGAACAGATGTCTCCAGAGCAGTGGGGTTAGACCCATCCTTATTCACTTGAGCTTTAGATTTTAAATAGGATGGAGCATGTGACATTTATCAAGGGTATGCTCAAATATCTTACAATGGGTACAATAAAAAGATCTATGTTTCATGACAATTTGTTGCCAATATTCATTATGAGTTGTGCCCAACCAGACTTCAGTAATATCTGGTAAAGTAGTATCCCTTTCCACAAGTATTCTGGCCACAAAATGCCTGGTTAGATTGAAGGTGGTTTGATCTAGCTTCATAGGATCCCCAAGTATGACCCCAATAAAGTATAGAACCCGATGATTAAAAAAATGTAGCTTAAGACCAGATAAACTAAACTATACCGGTATAGTGAGAGATTCATGGTTTGAGTCAAAACCAGCAGACCACTTGAGTAACTTCATTGAATTTCCTGCAATGTTAAGATATTTTTTAGATTAAGATATTTTTTAGAGAAAATTAAGATATTTTTTAGAGAAAATCCAAGCCTAGTCTTCAGCCACGGTTAACTGAATCAACACATGTCTCCAATCAAAGAACTTCACTTTACACTTACCTACTAGTTTGAGATCATCAAAACTCTTTCTGATAACTTCCATAGGTGGGTGCCCCCACTGAAATTTTCCAACAACATCGAGCTTGCATTTCTCAGTCAATATTGAAATTTCTAAATCAAAGAAAGAGTGCTGCTTTCCCATCTTTCCTACTTGTCTTCTTAACAAAATGACAGTCACCTGTACCATCACGACATTCTTTATAGATACATATGTATGCATGTATATATATTTCTATTCATGTATGTTTCTCTGTCTCTCTCTCTATATACACACACACACACACACACACACACACACACACACACACGTACGCAAATGTATATTTATATATTTATATTTGCATGTATATGCATATATACACACATACCTACCTTTAAACTTTGTAACGTTTAAAAATCTCCCTTATCACCTTATTTTTCCTTTACTTTTTAACGTTTAAAACTTTCCCTTATCCCCTTATTTTTCTCTTCCAACCTTCCAAACTATGTGAAATCTTGTCGTCCAGATTGTAGTTCAGCCTCCCACTACAGTACCCTATTGCACGACAGAGGAGAAACTGAAGGGAGTGATTAGCTGTCGGAAGGGAAAACTAAGAGAATATGTTAGGAAAGGGAAAATTGACTTATTTTATATACATAATAAGTTAAAATCTGAATACATTTTATTCAATTAATCCCAAACATTAAATTTCATCTGGCCATCGCATTCATTGCTTGATGGAGGGTGTTACAATAAGAGGATTTCTTGCGGGCGGTGGGAGCAATAATCGAACATCTGTGAAGCAGGTGTCGTAGCAGTAATTTTTTTCTTTATATAAGTTAATTATAACTTAATTAGCAGTCTGTTATGACACTGATACCATGGAAATTTATTTTGATGTATTTAGTAAGATTCAAAGCTAAATAATACGGAGATTTGAATGCGATTATGATCTGGTATAGTAGTGCTAGAAAATAATATTCCTGTGCAGTTTTTAATCAAGTATTTTCTTACATTACCTTACAATTGGCATGTTGCTAACCAAACTAAAGTTGAATGAAATTTTTTTACAATCTTATGTCTTTATGTTTCCTTACACCATTCAAGTATTGACTTCTCAGGTCCTCTTTCTTCTGTGTGGAAGGAATGGCTCAAATGGTGTATTGAATTTGGTATTGAGGCAAATGCAATTATTGCAGTTCCATATGATTGGAGGCTATCAGCTTCAATGCTAGAGGAGCGAGACCTTTACTTCCACAAATTAAAGTTGGTTTATTATCACAATTCTTGATTGATGTTGCATTCCATTTTCGTATGATGTACTGTAATTTTTCCAACGAACTTAGGGGAGTAACCATGCTAATAGTCTTCTGATACATCCATACCACCTTTTATCCTTCTTTATTTTTACTGTTTTGTCTCGTTATGCTTTCTTTTTAAACCACTAATGCAAAATTCGTCTGATAACTGCCCAGAAATAATGTTGCAACTTTTAAAATTCTTAAACCGATTTTGAATTGGGATTCTTTCTAGACTATATTTCCAACGGTTGCCTCTTTTATTCATCTTGGTTTTATCTTGTCATGAATACTTATATTTCTTGTAATAAAATTTAATGATTTTCCATTTTTTGCCTTCATTATTTATTAGTACTGTTATATATACTTTTTATTATTTTGCATCAGTGGATATTATTTAAGGCTTGATGTTTGCAATGAATCTAAGTTTAAATATTTGTTGGGAATGCTCTTTTTTATTATCAAAAGTGTTGCTTCCTCAACTTCATCTGCTTTGATGAAAGCCCAATAGGTGGTTACCACATGGTATGCCGGTGCCTATAAACCCTCATTTATATTACTTAACTTTTATTTTTTACTTTTTATTTTTTTCGTGACTTTTAATTATGAAGATGTGGTTCAACATTTGATTTATATGACTTTCAAGTAGTCAGTGCTAATAGAAACCAAGCTTTTTACATTAGTGTGTAAACAATATTGCTTTTGGAGTTTTTTTTCTTATTTTTATTTATTTATTTATTTATTTATTTTATTGGTTCTTGTTTAGATTGCATGGAATACATGAAATTTTTATTTTTTGGTTCTTGTTTAGATTGCATGGAATACATGAAATGTAATTTTAGTAGTAGTAGCTCTAGTGAAAGAGTTGTTACTATGGGCGATCAAATTATTAAAAGGTGTGAACACTTTAGATATCTCGGGTCAATTGTTTAAAGTGATGGTGATATAGATGGGGATGTTTTAGTAAAATTCAGGTTGGTTGGTTGAAGTGAAGGAATGCTTCAGTTCTAATGTGTGATAAAAAAATACCCCTTAGACTGAAAGGAAAATTTTATAAGATGGTGGTGCGACCTGCAATGCTCTATGGCGCTGAACACTGGCCTTTAAAAGAGAAGCATAGAACTAAGTTTAAATGTTACCGAGATGAGAATGCTTAAGAGTGGCTTTACACTTAGAGATAAAATGCGAAATGAATATCTCCGAGATAGGGTTGGTGTAGCTCCAATGGTGGAAAAATTAGAGAAAGTTTCTTTAGATGGTTTGGTCACATTAAACGTCGACCATCTGATGATCTGATTAGGAGAGTAGGTGTTTGAGATTTGACTTATTTGTAAGAAAGACAGCGGTAGACCTAGAAGAACTTAGGCATATTGCATAAAAATGATCTTAATTTATTAGAATTAAATGAAAATATGACACTCGATATGATGCAATGGAGAAAAAAGATTCATCTAGTTGACCCCACTTAGTGGGAAATAATGGTTTGTTTGTTATTGATGTTGTTTCTTCTTATTTATATTGCACTCTTTATGTTTTTTATTGAATTTAAAATTGATTACAATTCTTTTAACATTACTTTTGCATGTTTAGGTTCATCATCATTTTGGTTGTGAAGTCCTCATACATCCTTATTCTTAATTTTTTGAGTCACATAGATAATGAAGGTAGTCTTATTGTTTTCTTGATTTTGATATGCAATGATAACCTCTTGCGGTTGTGATTGTTGATGACTCAGTGATCTTTAGTGATGCAAAGCCTTTTGACTCTTCTTTTCATTTTATTTCTTAGAAGGAATTAATAATGCTGATAACTATTTTTATTTTTCTTTTTGTTAGCTGCATCCATCATCAATATTAGGAAATCCTTAGAATCTCCTCAGAACTTTTTAAGTTATCATTCTTGTAGATGGAGGTGATGTAACATTTGGTTACGAGGATAAGAGCAGCATGATTGTTTGAATCATGCCACATCAAAGTTTGAGGAATCATGCTGCTCTTATCAAGTCTTAAGTTTTTATGTGAATGCTTAAGTTTTCACCCCACTTTGATTGTTCGGGGAACTATCTCTAATTCTTATTTCGGCTGCTTTTCAACTCTAAATTCACTATTTTAGCCAATCCATTTTTATTCTCTTGGTACAATTTTTTTGGCAAATCACATCAAGGGTATGGAATTACTCTCCAGCAGTTGAAGCTGTCAATGGTTAGGTTCCTGATTGAAAGGGTGTTACTATCCCTTTGAATGTGGAGATTTGGATTAGTTTCACTGTTCACAGCTATTTATAGAAGGTAGAATTCAAAGGCATTCCTTATTATTATTCCTCTTATAATTTTTTAGCTACAAACTTTTGAGGATGCTTCAAGGGGACTCAAAAGTACAAATATCTCCTACAAATTAGGTTAGGAGCATTCTATTGATATAAACAAATATTCTAATGTAATTGTGGCAATTTTGTCTATACTTCGAATTTGCTTTGTGCACGAAAATTTGAATAAATTTTTTATTTTTTCTTGAATTTGTAGCCTTATCCAATATTTGCCCAATGTTGGTGGTCGGTAATTTAAACGAGATCATTGATTTAGATCTTCAATGAGTAATTGCTTTGAAGTTTACCTTATTATTATGGATTCTATTAATTCAAACTCTCAATATTTTACTTTTATGTTAGCATATGTACTACAGAAAATGTTTCAACTTCTATATGCCAAAAGAGGCAATAATAGAAAGAAATCATATTTTCACCATCAAAGATATACTAAAACTTCAAGTTAAATGTTTAAATAATGCCACCTGGGATATAGGAGGCAAGGTCACTTCCAAACGTCTTCCCTTTCCACGTTAGATGTGTTGGACACAGACATGGTTCCGACACTTTAAAAATTGTGTTATAGTTTTCTTAGTGTTGAATTGGACTTTAATGCTTGCTAGTGACGTGATACGGGTCAAGACACAAATTGGAATTATAGTGGTTAAACTCAAAATCAAACCATGCATTTGAAGGAAATATTTAAATTCAAAACCGAACCCTGCGATGAGAAGGAATTAATACTGCATACCCTGTAAGATACCCTATTTTTGTGATACGTATAACTCTATCAAGTCCATCTATGACACTGTTGACCGCATTTTGGGGAGATCTTGTATTTCTCCTAGAGCCTAGGATCTCTAGCCTTGAGACTTTTTTATTGACTATCTTAGAGGACTAGTAATGGAATCCACTATACGTAAAACTTCAAACCACTTCTTGACTCTTTTTTTTGTGAAAGCTTCGCATGAGAAGTCCTAAGCACTCAACTCTTAGTTACAAGGGCTAAGGACCAACATGTGGAGGGCCCAAAAAATGAGTTCCCACAGGATTTAAAGGCCTAAGGGAAACCTTTTGTGACTCGAACACTCACAAACACTGCAATTTACACATTCACACACATATACACCATAACTCACACACAATTCACTAACTGACACCACAATTAAATTGAAACAAATTAAAAATTCTTACGACGCGAATTACTTGTCGACAAATTTGTTTGAATGACCCCGGATGACGAAACAGACTGCACGAGCGTGTCCGAGATGTCAATTTTACCCGAAAAGGACACTCATATTGCTATGGTTCTGTGCACTAGCAAATGACACAAAAATCGACGCATGTAAATAATTAATTAAAAAAATAATAACAACAAGAAAAGAAAATTTCAAATTCAAATTCAAACTGCCCGTTTTTTAATTGGATTTATGAGGAGCCTTTATTCCGATTTAAATTTGCATTATTATCTTCAAAATTAATAAATGGAAATAATTTAATTTCCCCTCTCCCTCTCACGCCTATTCATTTGACCTCCTATCTTTTCCTAGTTCGCTCCCTCTCCACTGAACTCTCTCACCTCTCGATAGAAGCCCTCGCCTCCCTCTCTCGATAGAAGCCCTCGTCTGCCTCTCCGCCAAAGCTTGCCGGCCCGCTCCCCTTCTTTGCTAAAACCCTCGTTGGAGCTCAGGTCATTGACAAGGTAACAACGGGATTGCGTTTTGCGGGGAGCAACGAAAGTCTCACCTCCTTTCCCTTTGCTCCCATTCAAAATCTTCAATGAGGTGATGACCATTTCTCCTCTCCCGAGCTTTAATTTTCTTTTTTTTTGTTGCACTTGTCCTTTGAATCATAGTGATTTGTTTAATCCGAATTTAGGGCAAAATGAAGGGGAAGGGATTTTGCATACATGCCATCCAATTTCTTTTATATTTGAATGCCTAATGCCAATCTATGCTCTTTAAAATTTGTGGCTGTTATTCACCACTAGCTCTTGGTTTCGCTTGCCCCTCTCTCTCTAGACCTTTGTCTTCCTGCTTATCTCTTTAGCTGTATCTTTTGCATTTCGTTCTATTTATAGTTTGCTTCGACAAATTAGGCGAGGAATGACTTCTATTCTTCTTTGCTCATTGAAAATTTTAATTTGATGGGTGAAAGTTTGGATATAGCTATGCACTCTGGATGAGTATTTGTTCCTGGAGGTAATTAAATCATAATCAGCTAAAGCTCTGTTGGCTTGTAAGAGTATTGGGCCTGCTATAGCTTGTGACAAAGGACGTTACAAAGAGTACAAATAGCAAAGTAATCTTTTGTGTTCATACTCAAAATTAATACGTGGCGGATGCTATCATAAAACACAAAAAAATTTGTTGAAAATATTCAGGAAAGGAAGTTTTCTTTTCCAGATTTGTATTCTTGTTCGCCATAATTTAGTAGGCACTTCAACGAAAAAAAAAGTATTGTTGCCTTGTCTATGTTTGCTTGCAATCATGTGACTGCCTATCGTTTCTATGGTGAAAGCACCAATTTTCTTTTTTATTATTTTTTTTTTCCCGAATAATTCTTTGCTGCTGCTCAGATATTATTAGCTCTCTAGCTGATGGCATTAAGCTCAATTGCTCTACATTTTGTATGGGTTAGGTTGTTCAAACATTCTTTCACTTG